GCACCAGCACCACCAGCATTGCCTGCAGGAGCAGCAGTGAATGGCCCAGCGGCAGCTAAATCTTCAGCTAAAGCACCACCAGCAGCAGCACCCAAAGCGGCAGCAACCGATGCAAAAGCAAAGGCTCCATCGAAACCAAAAGCACCACGGCCGCCACTGCCACAGCCACCAGCACCAGCCAAAGAGGCTAAGGCTAAAAAGGCCTCAGACCCGGAAGCCTATGGAGTAGAGTTCTTTTGTAGATCCCGGGATCAGTTGCTCGGAGGAACTAATTGATGAACAAAAGTTCTTAAAATCTCACCTCATCACTGTTTGTGTTTGTTTGTAGTACCAATACCCACGCCAATACTTGTGGTGACCACCTCAAGCCACACAAGGTGGGCCAAGCTTAGCAAAGCTGAGTCGCACAAAGCTGTGGAAAGAGCACACAAGCATGTAATTTTCAGTGACTTTGTTGACTTCTTCTTGAATGTCATGGGTGACGACGTGAACGGATGGAAATTCGGTGAGCCAGAGAACGTCCTTGACGATCTTGAGAGCTTTGGGATCTTCTTGAAAGAACAGTCAGATGCGTATGGCCCCGGGATAGACCTCAAAGAAGATCAACCTTTGTTCACAACAGAGTGCCTTGGCTTAGGCTTAGGCAAAGAGTTCAGTTCCACGTAGTGTTTGAAGTTAGCCTGATGAGGGCCCGGACGGTTGGTTGATTGTAGTCGGTGTCGGTCTGTAGTAGTCTGAGTCAATTTTTTTTTGCGTGTATCATTCTTGATACTATATACTATATACATCTATGTAAGAATTGTCCACTGCCCTTGAGAACCTGTAGTAGGTGATTCCCCCGTGCCCACTCCTTTGGGTGCAGCTTGGAAAGTTGGGTTTCCATTTCATGACTTTCATGAACTGTGGCATCACGAGTCTTCCTAATGACAAGGTTTGGGCCAGGTTGGGGATCTAATTCATTGCAGTTAAAAAGAAGAAGTTGAAGATAGAAGCACTGTCACTGAAGCCAGTGAGTCTTTGCGCTTTTGGTGTGCGCAAAGAATGCGGCAACACAGAAATCTGTGTCACACCGCCCAGAGCTTATGTGTGCAGAAAGGAAAAACACACAAAACGTGGACCGAGCCGAGCCTGAGTTGTATTGGTGGGAAAGCGATAAACATATTATCTTTAATATACATATGCACCCCTTGCAACTTCTGCTTGGCAGCGCACTGCCAATTAAAAGCTTCGACTCATCAAGACTTAATCGAAAGTATCATTTCGAGCCATGACAAAATCCAGCCTTTTAAAACCACCTTGGCTCAAATACACCCCAAACCGTAGATTGAAATAGGCTGGTGAGAATCAATACTTCAATGTCCTTCGGGTTTTAACTGAACAAACCTGTAATAAAAAGGTGTAGGTGTTACTTAGACAAACCTTAGAACTTGCGGCTAGCCAAACATTGGTTGAGATGGCTTGACTTGCCTTTTCAGATCGCAGCTCCCGCCGTCCGTAGATGGGTTAGAATAGTTAGATGTTGTAGGCTGGGTGGGTTTAGAGGTTAGAGGTGTGGTTGGTTCGTAGAGGTTGCCGGCCGTGGATCGAACCCTTCCCCTTCTTCCACACCGTGTGCCCGATGGAACATACCCTGACAGAAGTCGCCCAAGCGACGCATGAGATTGAATGTCTCTCAGGTTTTGCGCGGGGCCTACAGTGGCCTTTCGTTCAACCTTGTCCTTGCTGAACACACATGACTGAGTAGATCCCTTGGCTTCCTTTCCCAGCCACCGGCTGGTTCACCTAGCTCCCTTGTCTTTCTTGCAGCTACATGTCTTGTTTGTTCACGCACGTGTCTATCTAACGCCGAGTGTGCGCTGTATTTTTCAAAACTCTTTTGCTAAGGGTCAGACACTTGGAAACATTTCAGCCTTCACTACGGAGCTTGCGTGGCTTCATGACTCAGGACTAAGGAATGTTTGTCGGCCCAATGGAGCCACATGTACCAAATGATCATATTTCAGCAATTTAGCCACGCAAGAGAAATGCTGATGCAGAACTGTGGGGTTAATCCCAACACACATGGCAGATGGCAGGTGGGCTGGACCCACCTGCAGATGTGTCAAATGCAGGTGTGGCAACCTCGCAGCCCCATGCGCATGCTCCTGTTGTGTCCGAAAATAGACATGTTTTGGGTGGCCCAGCCCTTCAACCACGCAGTGTAAGTTTGGTCGTCGGCGCACCTTGGGCAATGTGGAAATGAAAAAGTACATGTACAGGGAGAGAGAGAGAGAGAGAGATATATATATATATTTAATGCATATATTTATATATATATATATTATTCATATATACCCAGAGAGAGAGAGAGAGAGACTAAGAGTGATAAATTGGTTGTTGACGCCGCTAATACTACTATGATATCATTCAATGTTACTGTTGTTGTTATTACTATGTTGCTGTCCGCAACCGGTCACACCAGGAAAAGCCACCATGAGAGCTCCAACCACCAGCGCAGGAACTTCATTGGTGTTTGTCCTTACATGAAAGCATCATTTTAGATTTAATACATATATGTGTCTTGTACTATAGACAGGGCTCCTTCATATTGCGGAACTTGGTGCAAAACAAAAGAGCAAAAAAACGGTTCTTCAACTAAGCTTTGCGAGGCAAAGGCTGCGGTTATGTGGAGCTCTCTTTGGGCGCCTATGCGCCAGGCGACAACCGAGCCCAACAGGGACTACAAAGCAGGTCAAAAGTAACTGGTAGTGAAACAGGCTCAGCTTTGGTGTATCCTAGAATGGGTTGAAGGGAAAATCTGCAGGAATCCCATATTTTTGGGGCGTGAAAACCGTGGTTCCTGTAGATTCCCCCTTCAAACCCATTCATTGAGTGTACACTTCAATAATCTGGAGTGTCGCTCATGTTTCAAGTTGTTTTGTTCATATCACGGCTCATGACCTTGTTCGGCAGGCGACATCGTCCCACAAAGCCTGTCAGGACACCGACACGTGTCGCATGTGGCCTTGCATGTACAGTTTGGGTAACCTCGCACCTTTGGGCGCACGACAGAAAATCTAGAATACAGATGTTCAACGATGGTTGAATTGTGCCACATATTGTAGTATTGCAATGTTTCACGAGAGGAATTCCATCGTCCTTGTTTGTTTGATTTGGTGATGTTTGTTATTTACCTCCAAGTTTGGTTCAGATATGTGATTTACCGGCTTGCTAGACCAAACAGATGTTTGCAGGAGGTGCAGACGTTGATGAGGCAGCCGAGGTCCAGTCCATCAAGACGCGGGTGGTGAAGTTCCTGGGTTAACATGAATTCAATTTCCCCATACATGACATATACAGTGCATGCAACACTTCGATGGATAAGGTTGTTGACACTTAACACATGTGAACACACCGGCAGGTTATATAGGTCGTTCCTTGTTCTGTTTTTTTCCATGTGTACGATTGCAAACTATTGCATGAATTTGTGAGTCGTGTGATCTTCAACGAATCGAAGACTTCCTTTCCGTTGATCCGATCCAATCCCGGCCAAGGCTTCCCACCAAAGATGCTGCCAAGTCCCTCTTCCAACTCACGGTTTGCATCTACCAGGCGAGGCCTTGTAGTCTGGGATTTTAGGGGGGAGAGAACAAGGCCCCCGTAGAATCTTTGTACAGCTGAAGAAGGAAGCGACGGATTGAATCAGATACCTTACCTCACTTAGTCACTAGGCTCTCATTGTTTGGATCAAGTCAAGTCAAGTGAGGTCTTTGTTCTACGACTGCATGCGATGACTGAGTGCGAGGTTCGTACATATTAAGTGTCCGACTGCAAGAGCAAAGACACGGTGACCACACCCGCCAGAGGCCGAGGAACTGGCGATGATCAAGGGCCACTGTGCTTGCAAATACCTTCCAAGAGCTTTGAGACAAGAGCGGCTATATACAACTACCGCGTCCAGATCGATGTGTAGAATGTAGAAGGTTAAAGCTTAAATATTGAATGCTGAATGCAGGTGTTTAGGGAGCCAGGGGGGTTCAATGTTCAATTTATTTGGGGTCACTGGAAGTGATGCGCCTCATGTCTCCCACCCAACTGTGTGGAAGGAGGGGCCTATGATTGGCTTCAAGCTACGTACGTGATTAGGTGAATCAGCAAACATATTGAAATGCCGACTTTAGACATCCGCAGCCCGGTTTGTCTGACCTGAGCTTGGACAGACAAGTTGTTCATGGCAACTCTTCCGCTCAGTGCTTTGGCGGAGCTCCCCAGGTGTCCTGTCGACCAATTGCAATCCCTTCGTGCAAGTGGATTTCAACGGGACATCGCAGCGAACACAAACGCAGAGGAGTCTCGGAAGGCATAGACGTTGACTCGACGGCTCTGACTTGAGCTAGAACGTTTTAAATGAAACTCAGCTCATGTGTGAAGTTTCTTTGAAATGACGAACACCTCTTTAGGTTGGAGGCCATTGCTAGTGGGTAGGACCCGGGTAGGATGCCCCAAAACAGTCCTAGGCCTTTTCGGGGTCGGAAGCGGTGTCAACAACTCATGCACGACAGCAGTGGCCGCCAAATGCATCCGACCCTTGCACGACCTCGGGCAGACTTTGTCAGAGATCGTGCATCCCTTACGGTTGGTCACATTTGTCGTGTCTCAGCCACTGATCCCACTGGGTAGATCCACCTGACATGGCTAAGGAACAACAACCCCACCTGGAATGAAGAGGTGCAAGTGCCCTTCTCAATGCCTGCCTGGGCTTTGACCTCAGCTGGCCATGAGCATCATTGGGCAACACCAAAGAAGGGACACCAGGGTTGCGGCTCCATGAAGGCTTGAGCGACTCATGCAAGAGAAACAACTTGGCCTCACGACCCAAGACTTTGGGCTTTGTGACCAGTGTTCAACATTAAACAAAGTGCCAAGATGTTTTCAGTCTCACAATCAGGGGCAAGCAGCCACAGAATGAACTCCCCAATCTCTAAAATTAAAAATAGGCCCAATAGGCGATTGATTTAGGCGATTTAGGCTTATTTTGTCAGCTTGTTTGGCCTTTAGCGGTCCCCTTGTCATACAACGCGCCTGGAAACCCAAACAACCAGCAACAAATGATTGTTCCAATATGGCAATTGAGATCCTCTACATAGTAAAGTGGCTGTTTTGGGGAAACATAACATCCATTTGTTTGACTGGGTTTCCATGTGATTTTGTTCGGGCACTTTGTTTTGGGGGGCTCACTCGCACCATCTCGCATCTCTTCTCTGAGGACAATAGTGTCAATGTGACGGTGATGCATGACGGTGGCCTCACCGGCAGCAAGGTGGAACTCGGGGCACCTCGGTGGAGCTTGCACCGAGCTTACAGAAGGAGTGATATAAATAATAAAGGGAGATTCGCTATGGTTTGCGCAGACCAGACAGAGCAACTCCGCCAGCACAGTAGGATGGATTGAGGTTGGATCTGATACGTAGGACCCTGAAGGAATGAACTTGAACTTAAAGCAACTCCACACATAATTGCGGCAGCTGTAGCAACTGGATGCTGTTGGGGCATTGCTGGGGAATGCTTGCGGCAGCTTTAGCAACTGGATGCTATTGGCTCGTTGCTGGGGAATGCTTTTGTCACACTTTAATCAGGTAGACATTTTGGTCTTGCGCGGTGATGGATCAAGGATGTGACGCTTGACATTGATGATTTGGCCAATGAAGCGCTTGAGCCCACCTGGTACTACTTTTACAAGGCAATCATCGCACTGGTCCCGGACTGGAAGAGCAACACGTTGTTTGGAGAGCCAATTCTTTTCTTCGAAGCTTTCAGAAGAACCTTTTGATGATGATCGAGCTTGGATTGCAGCACAGCCAATAGCAAGGGCGTCCAATACTTCTGAAATCTCTTGAATCAATGGTTGGTTGGTGTCCTGATTTGTCCTGCCTCTTGCCTAGTGCAGTGTAAGTTGGGCCCAAATGAAACTATATATGTATATAAATGTTATATATAGTTATGTGGGTATCCATGGGGTGCCTCCAGGCGCCCGATGGCAAAAAGGATGAGGAAAAGTCAGCAGCTTGGCAGGTGTGGAGTACAGTTTCTTTTACGCATCATTCAAGATATAAAAGGAAAGGACCCAAAAAGATCCAAAGCTTCTTTCGGGCAGATGGACAAAAACCAAGAATTGGACTGGCTCAGAGAGCGAGACATTGTTTCCAGTCAAAGAGCGATGCACGGTTGGTTAAGAGTGTTTCGGATTGGACAGGATAGTGTCCACCGGCTGTATTGACAAGGCCAACATATGCCAAATAAAGTCCAATCTCAGGAATTTGCGGGACGCTTGCTCCTCTCTGCGAGCATGGAACGAACTGAACCTTGCTTCAAAGAGCTGTTTTGCTTGATTCGATTCCTTTGAAGCACTTTTTTGTGCATTATTTTGCACCATTCAATTCAAGTTATCTTCAGGAGAAGCCTATTCTCACCATCAATCCTGGATCCATGGCAAATCCGCCCAAAGTGACGGCGGGCGTCGTCCCTTGATCGCAAGATCCCTGGGTTCATTTCACCCCTCTCCCTTCTTCCTGGGTCATTCGGCGTGGAGATCGAGCGTGTGGAGGCCTGGATCGATCTCTACATGGTTTGCTTTGACAGCACCGAACAACCTGAGTGGCTGCATGTCCAGATTGCGACTGGATCAATATTGGGGTTTGTCCGGACAGGGGGACAGGGTCCGGTCGAGATTGTGGTCAAGACGATCTCCAGAAGGGCCGCATGGGAGATCATTTGCGTAACTTGCGCAACAGAGGCGCGCGCGCTTATTACTTGGCAGCACTGGAATTTGATCTTTGAGATTTCCATATCGGCCAACACATGCACAACTGCAGAATCACATCAATATACAGTACCTTAATTAATATTTTAGAATGATTGTTATGTTGTATGTGCATAAATCATCATACAAATACGTAGAACCATGCATTTGTACAGATCTACGTGTTCATTGGAGGGTGTTTGACCCTATTGTATCCGTGAGAGCAGCTGCGCTATATAGACGAGGTGTGTAGTTTCTGTGTGAACAGAATCAAGCACCTCCATTGTAGGATAGTGAATGCCTTGCGGAAGGGGTTCCAAATTAGATGTGATGCGCCAATGTCACCCACGCCAATGTCACCCATGGGTACGTGGGGACATTGACTCACGCTGGGACCGAAGGAAGCTTTTGATTGTATGCCCGTCAATGCCGATTTGTTTGCTTGAGGAGTTGCCTCGAATCATCGATGCAGAGCTCATCTCAACGCAACCAGAGCCTGAAGGGCATGGCTTTGTTTGGAAAGGAAAGGAGAACATCCGCATGGACCACATGGTGCCTTGGTCATGGGCGGGCATTGCTGGGGTTCTTTTGGAGTTATGCCAGCTATGCCTGTCACATGTCCAAGAGTTGAGCCTATCACATCTCAGCTCACCTTTGTCCATTCATTGCTTTGAATGAGCTGAGAAGTCTAGTGCTTTTCCATGGCTCTTCTTTTCCATGGCTCACCTTTGTCCTGGCTCTCCATGGCTTTTCTATGGCCGAACTCGGCGGCCGAGTTGAGTCGAGCTGAGGTGCCCACCTTCTCCTTACCGGCTCCTGAGAACTGTGGTGAGTTCATCATCAGCGCAACTTGGATCGGGGATCATCATGGAGTCGGGGGATGGCAGGACTTCCCTTGTGCCATTCGCACGGAAAGGTTTACCCCACTGATGCCACCGGAACTGGTGTGATGCTTGGGAAGCTTAGATCCACAAAAGACACTTTGCCAATGAGATGTGAATCTGAATGCGCACCAAATCTTACTTGGCCAGCAATCGCCCAGACATACTTGTTAAATCTTTTTGACGCAACATGCTCAGTGAAAGCTGTTCGAACTACTCATACGTCAGCAGGGTTTTGCTGCAAGGGTTTCTAGAATAATAGGACCATACTGTAGGACCCTGTAGGAGTTTCTCATAAGTTTTCTTCGCTGAGGTCTTCGCCAAATTCAAGAAGACAGGGTTGCTGGGCGGGAAGAAGCCCGAGCGGCACATGTCACTGGGATGCACGATGATCCACAGGAAAGCATCGACCTCATCAGACCCAACAGATTCTAACAGATCCCAACGGCAAATGTTCTAAGGAGAGCAAGACAAGAACATCCGTTTGCAATCTGGTGTGCTGTTGGTGACGTTTTCTTCAGCCAGGATCGAAAACTGATGTCACCTCATGTTCTTCGCTCCCCCAGACAGAAGAGAAGGGAAAGGGACGTTTGAATGGGTTTGCTGCAGCTGCTTCAAGCCACTCGTTGCACTGCGGTCATCCATGTCCGAGCCGTGGGCGCTGTGGACTACCAAGGTATGCAAGGGTGCCTGCAAGTGAAGTCTACAAATGGGATCAGACGCCGAAATGGACGCCTGGATGGCAGGGACATGTTCAACTGTGCTTAGCTTGTATAGGTGCACTCGCATTATCTCACATTCCTCAGGTGAAGTGCACGGCTGGCATTTAAATTCATCATGACTTACCTTGGATCCTCATGGTAGTCATCACATGTATGAAGCCGGGGTTCTACATAATGTTGCACGCAGTGCCAGGGCACATCATCAAACGGTACCCTCCTAGATGGCGGTCATCACTCCTATGAATAACAGGTATTTTTGTTGGACCGAGCACGGGCCTCATGCTGCTGGACCCACAGTTTCAATGAGTTCATTCCCGGTGTGGTCATAGCGTTCTTGGGAACCACTCGCACATGTGTTTTTGCTTTGCTAAAGCAGTGCCCCAACTAGTGCCTCCAGCTGGCGGTTCAATGCCACTGGGCTGATGAGCCGCATTCAAGGCGCGGGGGGGTCCCGGGCACTCACCATCCGGGCTTGACCATGCAGCACTCCCATACCAGCTTTTGTCCACTTCCCCAGGTCGCAAGTCTGTTTTAGATGGTTTTAATGTAATGCTGGTGGTGTCGTTTTTGGTTGGCTTGTCGCGGTCGAAAGCCAACACAAAAAGAACAAAGAAGAGGACAGAGAGAGCGGGAGAGATGTAGGATGATGTCGGTTTATGCTTGTTGATGTGCATGTTTGGACCATGAGTAGACATGTCGGACAGTGTGCCATTCTGTGACACAATCTCCACGCCCTCAGGAGAGACATGCGGATGGTGGTGCACGGCGGTGATGATGTAGGCGCTCCATAGCGGTTTGTTTTTTGCCTTAACTGGTGTCTTCAGTGCCACGTCTGGAGTCCAGATGCCAAAGGTCATTGTCCAAATGAGACATTTCAAATTTCTCCTGAATGATGTCACGGACAAAGGACCATCATTTGATGTTCATGCAGGTCGTTGTTGTTTTTTTTTTTTTTTCTGGCCATCATGGGATGTTTTTGGTTGGCCATCAAGGGCCCGGAAGTTGTGTATGTTGTTTTTTCGTGCAAGGCAGCGCTGGATTTTTGCTGATGTGTCTTGTTTGGAATGAGTTCAGTAGCAAGGACATGCAAGGACTCTAAGAATGCGGAGAATGAAGGCAGTCGCATTAGCTCACAGCGGTGTGACAGTGAATGCATAAGTGGTGTAGAACATGTAGATCATCTCGGATGGCTGTCGTGCTTTTCATGGTAGCCTGGCTTGATGTTGTAACACTTCGCTCGCTGGACCCTAAGGACACTTTGCCTGGGACCGGATTCTCCGAAACCACCAGCGAGGCCCGTCGGAAGTTTGTTTTTCTGGTAGTTGGGGGCCGGTGGATTTCTTGTGTTTCTGAGACCAATGTTGTTTTGAGGCTTTGAGTGTGATTTTTGATTTTATCATGGGCGGCGTCGGCGTGCGGGAGAGAAAAGATATTATATATACTGTTGCACTAGGGAACCCCATTTGTGTCAAACAATGCCTTCTTCATTTGCCCCATGTTACATGTTGTTTGAACATCGCATTTGTTTGGCAGCCCCAGAAGCCAGTGGGCACCCTTTTGTAGAGCCTGCACCTGTTGAAGCTGTGTGTTTGCTGCTCGTGATTGGTGGCAGAAAGGGTCCTTGCTATAGTTTGGAGCGGAGCGATTGACAGCCATAGAATTTGTCTCTCACCGCTAGGGCATACGTCAGACAACATCGGAATTCGAAGATTGCAAGAGACACATAGCGGAAGACAGAGACAAACGAAACAACGAGATATATAGAAACTTAGAACAACTTGGACACATACTATTAGGACAAATAGCACCATGTCATGATATACATTGATTCATGGATTCAGAGATGGAGACAAGTCAAGTTGCTTGAAGGACAGGAGTTGGTTTGAGGGAATTGTCTTGAAATGTTGACCTGTTGTGACTGTTTGCAGAACCATGTGCAGGGCAAAGCCTTTGAAGATCAAGTGGAAGGACTACTGTTTCCGCGCCAAGATTTACCAAGTACTCAACTTAATGGACACAGCTTGGCACAGCAGAGAGTCTAAGCATGTGTTCTATTCGATTTTGGGTATGCCTGTGTTGTGATGAAGTTTGATGGCGTTAGCGTTGCACTTTCGAGGCTGTCAACCTTCCAGCCAAGGACACGGCTGACTTGTTTCCAAGTCCAAGTTGTATCGAGTATACATCGGACAACAACAAACGGTCCATGTTTGCTGACCAGTGAGTCAATGTCGAAGCGTTTGCTACATTTTGCTACTGTACGTTCCTTTGCGTGTTCATGTGGCCTGTTCATGCCATAGTGCTTGTAAGCATGCTCTGATTGATGTGTTTTGTGTAATTATTATGCTACTGCCTACACCTTTGCCAATGTGTATCAAATGGACCCTTACACAAGGTGCAGCAGCTTGTCAGCATTGTCAATCATGCAACTGTTATGGATGTTTCGCCACAGGATGAAGAGGGCAGCTCAGATCCACTGGTCGCCATCAACTTCGGCCCGGCCATCCTTCGGACTTTTGGCACGCCGTCGGCGGTGGCCGTTTTGCCCACCAAAAGCTCCCAAACTCGTAGGGCCTAGGGCCTAGGGCAGCTGCAGCCTGTAGCAAAAGCTCCCGGCATCTCCCGGCTTGTGGCATACTCAAGCTAATTCCAGGAGAGTGGCACATTGATCGGAACCGGGCGCTCCAGCCATCCGGCTCTTTCAGAAAGTGTGAGCCAAGTCATGAAAAGTCTAGCACAGATCGGCGTGTAAGTAGATAGTGCATGGCAAGGTATGGCATGCATGGCGGCCCTCTAGGAGTTGCACTTTGTCCCATCAACTGTCCAGTGGCAGTCATTGACACACCACGCCATGGCTGAGCCAATGCAGCTGGTGCGGGTTGTGCAGCCTTCGGGCGAGCTGGCTTGGGAGGGCGAGGTGTCCAAAAAGAGCACCATCAAAGAGCTGATTCGTACCATCAGCAAGGACAGTTGTGTGGGCAGCATCAACAGGCATGTAGAACTGTAGAACTGTTAGCTTTGCTACTGTGGCTTCCATGAAATTACTTTGTCCAAAGCCTTCTTTGATATTTCAGGACACCTCCTTCACGCGAACTCTTTGCTCTTTCTTTCAATCCGGTCTTTCTTTGAAGTGCTAGCCTATTCCTTTACTGAGGTGTCCTCTCTTGGCAGAATTAGCCCCGGCTACTACTAGAAAGCCTATTCTTCCACAGAAGCCTCCGTGAAGCCATGAACAATTAGTCGTGTCTTCCAGAGTCTCATCTTTGATCCACACATATCACATATCCACACCTTATCCTTAACATCCCTTGCAAAGACCTCTTTTCTTCAAACATTGCATCCTTCCTGAATGTGCCTTTGCTTTGTGAGGGTCTCACCCTGTATAAGCGTGGCATCTCCCGTTTTAAATGTTCCGCCCTCTAAGAACATATGTTAATTTTGTTTCGTCAATGTTGCCTTCCCCTCCACAAACGTTTGTTCCCGTGCCAAATTGACATCGTCTGATATGGAGGACACCTGTCTCAACCTTTCTGGTTATTTGAATCGACATGTTGATACCGTAGAAACATTGATTTAGTTGAGTTCCTGTCAAAGGGATTTGATCCTGCATGGTTGACTTTGGGTGCCTAGAAAGTTTCCTCGGACATTTTTCAGTCAAACAAAGCGTCACGTGTTGACAAATGGTTTGAATTCCTGAATCCAAGCAAGATTAAACAAGCAAACTCCTTGACGTGTTCGTTCATCGTTCATGTGCATCAAACGTTTGTAATGTCGACGTCGGATTAATCAACGGGCCCGCCCCCTAGAAGGTCAACAAGGTCTGAGATTGGAGGTTTTGGAGATCACATCCCCCTAATAGTGGGGATGACCTGATGATGAAAGGGAATTAGTATTTGGAAGAATTGAGATGAAAGGGAATTAGTATTTGGAAGAATTGGAATGAAAGGGAATTAGTATTTGGAAGAATTGAAATGAAAGGGAATTAGTATTTGGAAGGGTTAGACTAATATTATAGTAAGTAATTATACATTAAACACACATATATTTAAGTAAGTATATTTTTCCTGGTGGGATAGGGGGTAGACTAATAGGGGGGGGGTTCAGCCAAGCAAAATGTTTATTAGAGGGTGGTGACTGTGGAAATTCATAGTTCAAATTATATAGTTTATTATTGGGGCCTGAACGCTGGGTAGACTAATAGGGGGGGTTGCCTAATCCTATGTTGACATTATGGGTCTATACGTGTTGTTTAGCAACCTCGCTTCTTATCCCCAGAAAAGTCAATCTTTACAGACTGATGCAATTGTTTTTGCTCATGCCTTCTTTACCCAGTGTCAACTGGACAATGTTGATCATTTGTGTGAGCGTGAGGCAAGTTGATATACCAAGACAAGGAGCCAACTATTTACCAATGATGCAACAAGATGAGCAATATTGCTAGGCAAGGGTAGGTTCTTTTGTTCTTGATTATTATTGCTTACTGTTTCCTTTGTTTGACCCTTCCAAATCTTCAAGAAGTAGAATATTTTAGTATAAACAGGAAGAGGGAAGCTAAAAGGTAACAAGCAGTTGTTGCGCAAGAGGCAAGCAGCAAGCCTATTGAGACTTGGAGAGCTTGTTGAGAAATGAGGAAGGGCAAGCCAAATTCAGGAGATAGGAGAGCTCCAAGGGAACAACGTAGTTCAACTTACTTGGTTCTGCTGAGGCGCTAGGACTGCCAGGCAGGTGCTCGTATCACTCAGTACCCAGTACCTTGTTACTCCATTTATAGGTCAATGTAATATATGTCGTTTCCGCCTGAAGACAAAAAATCCATACCTCAAAAGGTTCAGAAGACACTGCAAAGGCAAATGCCATTTCAAAGGCCGAAAGATTGGTACTGGGTGGGCAGGGGGTACCACATAATTTGAAGTATATTTACAATAATTTGATTTGTTATGCACATGCATGTCAATGTCCCACATTACAATTTCTCCAGGCTGGATTTGGACCTCCCCACCTTTTGGCATTGCTTCTGGGGAGCGACATTATGCAGCTCACTCTGCACTATGATAGTCTTCTGAGCAATGTTTTGGTGCACATTGGGCCCCCTTTTGTTGTTGGAACAATTCGGGAATGTAATGAAGCAGGCGCGGGCACACACGGGATTGAATCGAATCGAGTTGTATGACTGTTTGGCATTGATGCAATGCTGTCCATCAAATTACATGTTCATGTAAGCTGTTAAGGAACCTAACTGGACACAAACCAGGCAACACACCAGCCGAGTATTTGGAGCTAGTTTTACTGGTGACTGTGGGTTTCAGATTGGCAAGGCAGTTCAAGACAATGACAAGCTTAGAAGAGCTTCAGCTCAAAGAGGAGGACAGACAAGATGCTTTCCTTGGCTTGTCCAAATGTTAGTTTGGATCAATTTGACTGAGATAGACAGGGAAACGGTAGACTTTGAGTCATGATTGAGACCCCAAGGGACAGAGAAAGACATACAAAAAAGCACATGATGCAAATTCTGGATTCCAAGATGGGGCATTGTGGCATTGCGTTTGCTTTGAGTTAAACTCGCCCGGATTCCACGAGGGTGTGACATTGCCTGGCGAGTTGCATGTTGCTCAGCCGTACACCTCAGTGCAAACCGATCACATCAGACTGCGGCAGGATTGCTTCCAGTTGGTGAGACGCGCTCGGAGTGAGTTTTCAAACTTCGAGACCAACACTGCTTCGGAAGAAGGACCAGAGAAACTACCAGACTTCCTTGAGACTTGGCTAAAGCTGGTTGATCGTCAGAATCATCATATAATATCATATATATCTACATGTAACGAACTGGATTTGGACCAAAACAACGTATATACATAGGTCATGGGACACCTTTCCAATATGCAACTATATGCAGGACACTTGTTTGCTTTCTCCCATGGTCACGAAAGGTAGCCCTTTAGGGGATACCTTGAGTTTGTCTTGCGAAGCAAGTGTCGGCTCGTCCGGGTCGAATAATTGATCGCTCAATTCAGACCCCCCCCCCCCTGGAATTGATTTTTCAATAGGCGCCCCCCGCCCCCTCTAAATTCAATTCTCTCCTGGAGAACGTCTTCGTGAGCCTCTCATGATTTCAGGATAGTTGAAACCCTCTTGAACATTCAGAAAGAGTGCATATGAAATTCTAATCACGAAAGGTGTTCCCCTAGGGGATACATACCTAGAGTTTGTTTTGCGAAGCACGTCAATTCTCTCCTGGGGGACGTCTTCGTGAGCCTCTTATGGTTTCAGGATAGTTCAAATCCTATGATGCTCCGATTCAATGCTCACCGATGATCTGAGCCATGGGGCAAGTTTGTTTTCCTAAGAATTTTTTTGAACATTTCGAGAGCATATGTTTGAACATGTAGAGTGCATATGAACATATATTTACGAAAGGTCGCCTCCGAGGGGATAAATCACCACGTCGAACATTGCATTTTTGTTCCTGCCTCTCGCGTTCTCTTCTCTTCCCGCTGTCCTACCTTTCGTGTCTCCCTCCTCTCAAGTTTCAACATACTTTAACTTGTTGGTGGCCAGTTTAGTTTGTATGTTCACTGATGTTTTAATGGCAGATCAGGTAAAGCAAGTTGATATGCCGTGGAGACAAGCACACAGGTGTTCTGTTGCCCAATTGTTTATTCGACAATGGCACTTGCTTGAACCCATGTCTTCACAGAATACTAGGGGCCGACATACCCTGTATATAGTTACTATATAGTTCCAAATCAGCAAGACACTCATTTTCCAGGGCTTGGGCAGTGGACAGGTGCAGATGTCTACAGGGCTTGCAACATACCGGAAGAATCCATGTTTTGAGGCGTGAAGCAACGTGAGGTATTGCAAGACATTGCAAGACCTTCAAAGATAAGAAAGTAGAATCTGAGAAGCCATTGTGCACCGGCTATCTAAGTGTTATTCTACTGTGCACAATGGTTTTGAGGCTATTCCATTTTCTGAAAGTAGAATTGGCCGAAACTGTCAGGTGAAGTGTGTGATCATGGGTCCTTCCGGCGTGGGCAAGAGCGCACTCGTGGCGCAGTACTGTGACCAGAACTACGTTCCAAGCTATTTGCCCCTCGGGCTCCGTTCGTGTTTAGTAGCGTCCTTGCTCCTAGTAGTAAGGCCAGGAGCCCCTAGTAGCGTCCTTTGTCCTAGTAGCGATGCCAGGAGCCCCTAGTAACTTAGTAGCTTCTTGCTCCTAGTAGCGATGCCAGGAGCCCCTAGCAATTAACTTAGTAGGTTCTTGTTCCTATGCCAGGAGCCCCTAGTAATTAACTTGGTAGGTTCTTGTTCCTAGTAGCGATGCCCTTTCGTCTTACTACGAGTGACATGGAGTAGATAGACTTTGTGTGCATATGCATTTGCCGCTGAGGCCAACTATTGGCGTGGACTTTCGAGTTGGACAGGCCATGTACTGGGACCGTCGGAAAGATGTACCCCAAGCCCAAAGCAACAGTCAGTCAGTCTCGCTTCTCACAACACAAAGCCAGAAG